CGGACCAGGAAGTCAGGACAGCTGGGGGAGGGGCTGAGTGAAGCTGCGACCTGGGAGGTGGGCAGGAAGGGACTGCGCCCAGTGGACAAGGTCTCTGAGGAGCCCCTCCCACCTCTCCTCCCAGGTCCCCAGGTCCCCGGTGTGTAGACCTTCGGCAAAAGATGCTGTCATCCAGGTGAGAGCATGCTGCTGTCAGATTCAGGGCTCTAGAGAAAGGGCAGGCAATGATGGGTGGGTGGCAGGTGGGTGACCGGTGGGGTGGGGGCAGTGGAAATGCACAGACCCCTGCAGGAGGTGACTCTTGGACACACACCTGGAGCCGGGGTCCCATCAGAGAAGTGATGGGAGAGGGCACCCCCTGGGCTTCAAGGAGAAGTGGGAGAGTAGAGCTGGTCCCTCCTGGCGGAGAGATGGCCCTGCGATCCAGTGGCCGGTCACCAGAGCTCAGTCTTCCTCACATCCTCTTCAGTTGCCATTTCAGGATATTGTCTGCCGGCAGCTCCATGTCCTGAGAGGGAGGTGGCATCCTGTGTGATTGAGAGTGGGCAGGCCCTGCGTCCTTGGGGGTGCCATGACTCAGTTCGGACTCAGAGAGACCCTCAGTACAGCAGAACGCAGCCCCGCCCAGTCCGGCACCCTGCCTGAGACAGTTCTGGGCTCCAGCGCCCACTTACGGCCATGGCGTCAGTCCATCTCATTGAGGGGCGTCTTCTGTTTTGCCGACCCTCTAACTTTACCAAACACGGCGTCCTTCTCTATCGACCGGTCTCTCCTGACATGATGCCCAAACTAACTACCTGTGACAAAGTCTCACCATCATCGTGTGCCAGGAGCAGTCTGGCCGCACTGTTTCCAGGACGGGTGGGTTTCTTCTCCTGGCAGTCCGGCGCCGCGGCTTTCTATGTTCTTGGCCAGCGCCGACATTCAGACGCAGTGCTTCTTCTCTGATCTTCCTCATCCATTGTCCAACTTTCTCAGGATGACCCCATGGCTTGGGGCAGGTGTGCCTCAATCTTTGAAGTGACATCTTTGCTTCTGAGCACTTTAAGGAGCTCTTGTGTGGCAGGTGGCCTGGCTGCCACACTGTGCCCTTTGGTGCCTTCCCTGCAGCTTCCAAGGGCCTTGCCTGGGGTCTTGGACGACTTGGGCCAGACACCCTGCAGGTAGGAATGCTGCCCTCAGATGCCCTTACACATGGCCTGACTCTGGATGGAGCATCAGAGCTGATCTCTAGTGACCACCATGTCACAGCGCCGTGGAGGCCCGGGGACACTAAGCCGTCTCGGTGGGAATTGCTGCCCACCCCCACGCTGAGCCATGGCCAGGAATCAAAGAGGCTGTGGAAGCCAAACAATGCTTCCCAACTCTGTGCCCCAGAACACGGAGAACACGGCAGCTCAGCCCAGTGGGGCCTGGTGAACTCGCGCGTTTTGTAAACCAACAGCCATCAGGTTGATGTGACTCGGGCGGCCCTCGCTGGTCGTCAGAGTGGGACTCCGCTCCGGCGGCTGATCACCAGGCCTTTGGTCTGAGGTGTCTTGGGGTTCGGGAGAGGCGGATGTGGCCTCCACCCGGAGGACCTCAGAAGAAAGGCCTGGGGACCAGTGTCAGAGGAATCGGCCACAGGAAACCATGCGGAGCACAGGGTAGGGCTGGACTCCACGGTGTGAGGCTGCCGGGCACAAGCCCCTGCCGCCGCTGGTGGTGGACGTGGCCTCCCACGGGGCCCCCACGACCCTCTCGCTGTCATCTGCATGGGACTTTACCAGCCCTTTCTTCCGTGGGGCCACTGGGTGGTGACACTGCCCTCCTTCCTTTAGGCTGGTCGCCAAGCACCAACTCTCTGTGGCACACGGGCCTGAGTCTTTAATCCATGTAGTGTGAATACTGGGGAGGAAGATGGGACTCTCTACTCCCGTAAAGAGTTACAGTCTAGGAGACTCCGATGCAGGTCTACCCTGTCCTATAGCATTGCTGAGAGTCACAATGAACTCGAAGGGAGTGAACGAGAGAGTCCAAATACCATAGATTTGATGCAGAAACAGCAGGCAGGGCGGGGGGTGGAGGTTGGGGTGGGGATGTGTGACAGGTTGTTGTCCAGACCCTCCCGACCAGGATTCTGAGGTGGTCCCAGTGGGTCTTTGTGATTTGAGGCTGCAGGTGAGTGAGCTGTGTCCATGTCAGCGGCAAACACCCTCGGGTTTGCTCCTGGCCAGGAATCCAAACCACACGAAGCCCTCCCACTAGAGGGGCCACTGTGCTGTGTACCACCAGCCATGAGGATCCCCAGCTCCAAAGAGGACAAGAACCCTGGTTCCCACATGGGGAAGCTGCTTCCACACACTTTACACACAGATGGGGCAGGGCAGGGGGCTCCCTAGAAATCAACAGGGAGGAGGACACCTGGAGGAGCGAGCGTGGGGCACTGTGAGGGGTATCACAGACAGTTCAGGGGGCAGGCAGGATATGGGGACAGTAAAGGCATGGGGCGGGGCTGCAGCAGTGGTCCAGGTAGGAGAGTTAGGAAGTGTCAAAGGGAGGGAGAGGGACACCTGGGGGGGAGTGGGGCGGCTGGGAGCTGCCAGGATCAGTTTCCCTCCCTTGGCTGATTCGGGAAGAAATGGAGGAAGTGTTGGTTAATGCGTTCTCATCCCTGCAGTCATCGATGTTCCGATGAAGAAAATCTGCAAAATGAACAAGATCTGAGAGTTTCCAGGAGCTCGAGGGAAATGCAGCTAAAGATCTGCGATGTTTTCAGTTCTTTGAAAAACCCCCCCCCCACCCGCAGCCCATGATTACGGAGGAGGTGGGGTGGTGGTGGTTGTTAGGACCCGGTTCTGACTGATAGTGACCTTGGTACCATACAATTGGAAGACCGCCTGGAGTGGTCAAGGACCTATAGAAGGTGGTTAAGGGCCGGTGCCCCACACCCAGAGGTGGTCGCTGCGCACGGCTCTAACTCACAGCTCCAAGAGCCCGTTGGATGGATGGCTGATGTCGGAGGGGATGTGCCATGGGAGTCACAGTCAGTTGGTATCACGATAGGTTAGAGATGGAAGGCATGTAACTGCTGTGTCTGGCTGGGCTGCAGATAGGGAGGGGCTGAAAGCACCATAGGAAGAGTGTGACACAGTGTGAGTTAAGGGGACCCCTGGGACGAGGGTGGCTCAGAAGGAGCCCTGGAGGCATAGCGCTTATGACTTGGGCTGCAAATCACATAGTCAGCAGTTCAAAACCACCAACTGCTCTCTGGGAGAAATATGGGGCTTTCTACTTTCATAGAGTTACAGACCCAGAGCCAGCATGAACTACACTCCAGTGAGGGCAGCTCAGAGGAGCGTCAGTGGTGCAGTGGTTAAATACTTTGTTGTTAACCAAAAGGTTGGCAGTTCAAACCCAGCCGCTGCTTCCATAGAGATGCTATCTGCTCACATAGAGATGACAGCTTGGGAACCCCATGAACCTGCTTCCCTCTGCCCTCCAAGGTCCCTATGAATCAGAATCAACTCAACACAACACATGACAACAATACAACAGGGATGTTCAAGGGTATGGACCCCAAAGGGAGGCTGGATGGAGAAGGTGCCCAAGGACTGCAAGCTGAATCTGTGGTGTGGGCCATGTTTTAGGCCTGGACTCTGGGAGGTTGGGTGTCTTGAGTGTGATAGTGATCCCAGGGTGGATTTGGCATGATGTGTGTGTGTGCGTGTGTGGCAGATCGGGCATATGGCTGTGCAGGCGGTTATTTAGATATATGGACTGGAGCTCAGGGGAAGAGCATACCTGCATTTGGTCAACGTCCCTCTGGTGAAGGGAGCCTTCTGAGAAGTAGACCAGGGAGAGGGAAGAAGAGGGGACCGCCGGGGGAGGTGTCATAACCGTGAGAATGCCATCTTTAGCAAAACGGCTATCAGACCAGGAGCCTGAGAAGGAGATGGGTGGGACGGTCAGGGTCCCAGGGGAGCAAACAGAGAACAGCCGCGTCACCAAGGCGGCTTCAGTCATGGCCGACACGTCCCAGGAAGATGCAGTGGGGTGGCGTCGGAGGGAGATAGAGTCCGGGATGGACACTGTAGTGGTCTGTGGAAAGAGCTTGGCGGGAAGAGGCTGTCACCCTTATCATTGCAACCCCTGCACTCGGCATTGGGGCAGTTGGACCATTTCATCCCGGCAGGCAGCATGGCTCACACGGAGCTGGAGCCTGATAACTGTGTGTTGAATGAAATGAATGGTCCCGGAGGGGGGCCGACTGGAAGGTTGGAAATTCAAGTCCACCCAGAGGTGGGAGAAAACCCTGAACATCTACCCCCACCAGTCAGCCATCGGCCACCCTGTCGTGGTCCGCCCATGGGGTCAACCATCACTCTAAAAGGAAGAGGGGAAGGTAAGTGGACAGGGAAGAGTGAGTGTCCATGGCTGGTGAAGACCACACTAGATGTCACAGAACACCCTGCGTAGACACTGCTGGGCGTGGAACTCAGCGGATGTCTGGGTTTCAAGCCCTTTGTTGCTGCGTGGATGATGGGGGCAGAGCGGTTGGTTTTCTGCACTGCAGTTCACCTGTCTTTCGTTTTGTGATACCCCCTACACACACACACACACACACACACACACACACACACACACACACACACACGGTAACAGCGCTCTCTCCCCTCCCTCCCTGTGGTCGGCATCTGCTGTGTAAACCTTCTCCGAAAACATGACTAAATCTCACAGGGACAAAGCAAGGGAGGAAGAAAGTTCTGTTGGGCACAGCTCTCCTGTGGCTGGCAGCGGGCTTAGCCACGGGCAATACTTGACTCCATAGCAAATGGGGAAGGGTGGAGCGGCCTCTGCCCAGGCGTTCTCCCCACCCCACCCTCTCCCATCCCCCACCCCCCAAGGACACTCTGTCCTTTGGGCGTGTGGCTACGGTTACTGGAATTGGCCGGGTGGTTGGGAGTCCAATAACCGAGCCAGGAGAGAGGAAGGGACCACATTCACTCAAAGTCCCCACCCACAGGTCCCACGGGGAGCTGGCCCCCAGCACCATGGACAACCACAGCGTCGTCAGGGAGTTTGAACTGCTAGGCTTCTCCCATCTGCACGGGTTCCAGGCTGCGCTGTTTGCATTCATTCTGCCCATCTACGTACTGACTCTGGTGGGGAACCTGGCCATCGTCATGCTGACCTGCCTAGATTCCCGCCTGCACTCGCCCATGTACTTCTTCCTGAGCAACTTCTCCCTCCTGGAGGTGCTGGTCACCTCCACCGTGGTGCCCCGGATGCTGGCCGACCTGCTGACCGCCCGCAAGACCATGACTCTGGCCGAATGTCTGACCCAGTCCTTCTTCTACTTCTCCCTGGGCAGCACCAACTTCCTGATCCTCACGGTCATGGCCTTTGACCGCTACGTGGCCATCTGCCGCCCCCTGCACTATACCACCATCATGAACGGCCCGGTCTGTGTCAAGTCGGTGGTGGCCTGCTGGGGGGTGGGCTTCCTCTCCATTGTCTTGCCCACCCTACAGAAGACACGGCTCTGGTTCTGCGGGCCCAACGTCATTGACCACTACTTCTGTGACTCAGCCCCGCTGCTCCGGCTGTCCTGCTCGGACACCCGCCACATTGAGCGCATGGACTTCTTCCTGTCGCTGCTGTTTGTGCTGGCCACAGTGCTGCTTATCCTGGCCTCCTATGGCTTCATCGTGGCCGCCGTGCTGCGCATCCCGTCGGCCTCCGGGCGGCAGAAGGCCTTCTCCACCTGCGCCTCGCACCTCACCGTGGTCGTGCTGGGCTACGGCAGCACCATCTTCATCTACGTGCGGCCCAGCAAGGGCCACACCGCGCACCTCAACAAGGTGGTGGCTCTGATGACGGCCGTGGTCACCCCCTTCCTCAACCCCTTCATCTTCACCTTCCGGAACGAGAAGGTCAAGCAGGTCATCAACGACCTGGCCAAACGGCTCCTAGTTAGCAACCAGGCAGCTGGCAGGTGAGAGGGTGGGGGTGCAGGCTTGTCACAGGGGCCAAGAGCCTCTGCCCAGGTGGGAGCCAGGTGCCCAGAGGGGCCACACTCCTTCTCGTCTGCTCCAAACTCCAGGAGCCTCTGCCCCTGCAGAGACCCTCAGGACAAAGGTGGGGTCCCTGCTTGTTGTGATAAAGGTGCTGCTGAAACTCCCTCTAGTCCTCAGTGGTCACTGTCCTCCCAAGGTTGTCCTTTCTCGGGCTCTAGCTGCAGGCCCAGGAGGGGTCTTCAGGAGGGGCACACGGGTCGGCTCAGATACATACAGCTCCCTGGGGTGTTCCTGGGAGCAGAAGCTTCATGCCCAGGGATTCCCCGCCACCCCCTTTCTCTCAGACCCCGGCCCCTTACGAAGAAAGGCCATAAGGTTTATCTTTTGCCAATCTCTGGAAGGGCCTGGGGGAGCTGGCCAGGCCCCTACATGCTGACCCACCCACAGGGCTATAGGAGCAGGCCCCAGGGGAGGGAAGTGCCCTCTGCAGGGAGCATTCTAGAAGCAGGTGGCTGGGGTCTCTGGGTCCCCAGGCCCCTGGGGGGTAAGGCAGAGATGGCAGACCTAGGAAAGGGCTGGGAGGTGGCCAGGCAAGTGTGCCCAGGTGCCCGTGGAAGGCCAGCAAGTCAGCATGAGCTGGACCAGAGATGGTACGGGGCTGATCTCTCCAGGCACTCCGTCTGAGAAGTGGCCGAGGCCCCCCTCACCCCCGCACCCCGCTCCTGCTCCCAAGCTGTTCTCTTCACAGGACACCAGGGGGCGGTCGTGGACGGGGCCATGGGGACCCAGCCTCCTGATCACAGGGTTTGGTAAACTGGGGACCACAGGCCATTTTCCCCGTGTGGGCCTCCTCACCCAAAGAGGAGGGAGAAGAAAATTTCAGCCAGAGAACTTGCTCTCCTCCACCTCCCCAGGGCCCAATTACTCTCCTCTCTGCAAACTTTGTGACAGACTGGGGACCTAAGTGGGAGCAATTATCTCCTCTGCTCTGAGAGCTCCCCTCCTGAAGCAGCGGCCCCGCAAAGCCAGGGAGGCAGTTTTCCAGTTGGACTCCTTCCTGTGGCCACACCCTGCCCATCCCTCCTGGAAATCAGACTCCCTCACTGTCTGCACCCAGCTCCCGAGAAAGTCTCTGGCTGGCCAGCCTGGGGTCTCCATCACAGCCCAACAAGCACCCCCATGACACCCCAAAAACAACAGCTATTACAGCCCATGCCACACCCACAGCACCTCAACCAGTATGTTCATGATACCCCAAAACCCTGCCCATGACACTGAACAACTACATCCATGCGAACCCCAAACGTCACCCATAGTACCACAAAGCCACACCCATGACACCCCACAACTACATTAATGATAGCCCCCAACCACACCCCAACACCTTAACCAGTATGCTCACAACACCCTAACCACCACGTCCACCACATCTCAACAACTACATCCATGATATCCCCAAACAACCCCCACAGCACCCCAACAGCCACCCCCATGACACCTTCACAACTACCTCCCTGACACCCACCAAACACGTAAACAGCACCCCCTCAACCATGCCCATAACACCCCTACAGCCACCCTTAGGACACCCCAAAACTGTTTCTATAATACCCAGCAACCACACCCATGACACCCAGTCACCCTCAGGAAACCCCAGCAGTCACGTGGCTGATGACAATCTCCAAACCACATTCACACACACCAACAATCATGCTCACGACACACCTTCAAGTGCATCTATGGACCCTGGTGTCCAGCGAGCTCCGTGTAGCCGCACCTACATCCCCTGGGAGCTCACCAGGAACGCACACCCTCAGGCCCCTCCCTAGACGCACACACCCCAGCCTAGCTCAGGCTCTGCCTGTTAACAGACCCTCAAGTGATTGTTGTGAAGAGAAGCAGATAGAATTTCCAATTTAAAAAACGTGTGTATGAAAGGCCTCATCCCGACTTCAGGCGTGTCTGAAGGGGAGCCTTGAAGGGCCATTGCTGTGCTCAGCATTAGCACACTGAGCTGCTAACTGACCTCTGAGGGGTTGAAGTCCACCCAGAGGTGCCTCAGAAGAGAGGCCCCACAATCCACTTCCAAGAAATCATCAGCGCAAGACCTTGCAGATCCGGTGCCTCTCGGACACGCGAGGGGCTTCACATGCAGAGCTGGCCGGTGGGAGCTGGCTGCAGCACTTGTGCACGCAACGGACTGAGGCAGCGCGCAGTAAGACCGCCTCTGCCCTGGCTTTGATAACGCAGGCTGGCCCACATGACGTGCTCCCCTGCTGAGCCCCGGCAATGGTCTACAGGGAGGTCAGGGGGCGAGCAAAATGAGGCAGACAATTACATGGCCGATGGGGCACCCAGCAAGGCCTGCACAATGGGAGCTGGCATTAACGAGTGGGTTCCAGCAGACTGCTGTGGGTGTCCTCCCGAATCAGATCAGATCCCCTGGGGACTTGAAAGGGTCGTTGGAAAGAGGTCCCCTCACGGACACAATGGGCTTCACAGTGGGCGCAGCCCCTCTGTGGCCGCGGGATGTGTCAGACAGAGCAGGATTCCCTTGCCTTTAACATGGCGAATGCTCTTCAGAATCTTTGCACTCCAGGGGCGGACCGTGAGGTTGGCTCCCGTAGGACCAGCTACTGCCTGCATCCAGAGAAGGAGGAGGGCGAAGATGCTGGCTGAAAGGGAACAGGCTCCAAGGGCCAGAATTCCACCTCAGAGCACAGGGACAGGAGCCCGTCTGCGAGCCAGTCATTTCAAAGTTCAGAAACTTAGCACAGCCACGGTTACCTGCAGGGACCCAGGGCTGCAGGGATGGGATCACACAGTGAGCAGTAGTGAGGGTGGCCCAAGGCCAGGCGGTGTGTCAATCTGCTGTACCGACATGGCTAGGGGTCGGAACGGACTGGACGGCACCAAACAACCGCAACGACGGTTAAAAAGCAAATAATGGAAACATGCCCAGCCAGATGCTTTGTGTTCCAAACGCAATGCTTTTATCATAAAACTTGGAGATCTCCTGTTTCGCGTTGATCTCTGCTGTTTCAGCCTCTGTGTCCACTGTGTCAGCATGGTGGGTGTTCTGTGTGGAATGGCGAGCTATCGAGAGTCTCTTCCTAACTCCAGGTCGGTAGCTTGCAATTGGTCACGGTGCCCAGACATGAACGGTGATGGCCATACCTTGCCCACGAAAGCTAAACCTCTGGGCTGCCTTCACCTCTTCCCAGCAGCCAGTGGATGCTGCAACAACCTTATTGACATCTGGAAATGTAAAGCTCAAAAAATCACCCCGCTGGATTCATACGAAGACAAAGGTCCCACTACCCCTGCGGGTCCCTTCCGGCTGGCCAACCTTCCAATGAACCCTGTGTGTGCAGAGCTTCCACACAGAACCCAAGCCTGACTGGCACGTGAGAGATGGCATTCGCTTCTTCAGCTTTCCTCATCAAAACGTCCACACCCTTAATGTCTTGATCCCTACTGAGCTTCGATCCCCAAGGTCTGCAGTTTGAAACCACTAGCAGCTCTGTGGGAGATAGAGGGGGCTTTCTACTCCTGTAAAGAGTTACCATCTTGGAAACTCACAGGGGCAGTTCTATCCTGTCTTGCAGGGTCACTATGTGGTGGTGGTGACTCAGTGGTGGTGGGATTGGTTTGGGGGTTTAGCCTTCACAGCACTGTGGGGTAGGCATTGGACCAGTAAGTGTACAGCAAGTGGTTCAAACCCACCAACCACTGTGTGGGGAAAAGATGAGGCTGTCTGCCCCTGTAAGGACTGGGAGTCCCGGCCACCCCGGGGAGGCATTCTGCTCTGTCCTGCAGGCTTGCTTCTTAATTGGAATCCACTTGAGGGCAGTGGGCTTGGTTTTGTGGACTTAGTCCTCAAAACCAACCAGAAGACTGAGAGCTACCTGTGTGACAGCGAGTGCCGGAGCTGCCCTGGGAGCCCAGCCTTTCTGATGGATGCTGCTAGACCACAGTCTGAGTGGGCGATGGAGGGCAGGTGGGCAAGGAGGGTATTTGGAATGGGGACAGAGCAGGCACTTCAGGGACTGGACCAGCCAGTGTTTGACTCAGTTGTGGCTGTGCGAACAGGCCTCACCACCTCCCACCCCACCTCCCCACCCCCAACGGCGTCCTGCAGCTGTGTTCCAGCACAAGCCACTTCTGGCAACCACAACTTCATGGAGATCAGTGGCCAGACGCATGGTTCCTATCTCCTGGGAGAAACAGCTTCCTAACCAAAAGGACCACGGGCCTCCGCAAGCAACTAATCTTTGCCTATTATGTCAGCCTGGGTACATTAGAGAAACCAATCCACAGAAACCCATATGTATAAGAGAGAGTTTTATATAAAGGGTAAGTGCACATCAAGAAAACATCCCAACCCGGTACTTCCCAAGCCCACAAGTTCAACATTAACCCACATGTCTGACACCAATCTACAGAGTCCTCCTCCATCTCACAAAACACACACTATGACGCAGACTGCAGGAGGAAAGCCAAATCAGTGAAAGTGCAAGCATCTCAGAGCTGGCAGGGTCTCCACACGGGTGCTCCAGCACCCAGGGCTGCATCGGGGTAGGTCCATGTGGCTTCTCCTCAGGGATGTCTTTCAGGAAGTGAGCCTTGCCAGCTGAAGCAGGGAACTGGCTAAGGCAGCTGCACCCTGGTCCGACCATCAGAAAGCAAGAGACCCGAGAACTCGAAAGGCGAGACTCACCGAGCCATTTTTCTCTCTGCCCTTCAATTAGCCCCACATGTGTTTATTGGCCAGGTTGGCACAATAGACTTTAACTATTTCACCTACGGACTGAAGGATTTCTTCACAGTCATATGGTGCCATTCAATCTTTCCCAAGTCTGTGGGTGCTACTGTGACCCAGAAAAGAGGCAAATAAAAGACAAACAGCAAACACATCTCTACAAATGACACTGGATCCAGATTGACGTTCTGCCAATACACGATCTGTCCCCAGTGCTTGGATAGGGAACCGGCAGCAGGGTGAGGAAGGTGCTCCTGGAAGGATGACCACTGTAAGTGTATGAATCTGGTGAGAACTGGATGTAGACTCGCTAACAAAGGGCGGGGCCTAGCTTCAGTTACAGGGCACACCGGCGCTTCCATGAGACCGACCACTGGATGAGAAGGAGGGTGAAGTTTTGAAGGTGGAGAGATGGCAAAGAACTGGAACAGCCACTCGGGCAGGTACATCACCTGTCAACTTAAGGAAGGGGTGGAGTCCAACCTGTCAATCAGGCCATAGCCAATGAAACCTCTGTGTGGCCTTCTCCTGAGGATTCTGGGAATTCCTGTCTTCCTCCCTGGAGGCTGGACACACACTCTCTGTGCAAGACATTCCTGTTGACAACCCAGATGAAGCTATGCTGATGGAGCCAGAGCCCTGGAGCTGGAGGAGCCACGTGGAGACCCCTGCCAGGGTTGAGGTGCTTCCACTGCCACTGATCCACAAGACTTTCCACCCACTGGCCTGTGATCTTCCCGCATTTGGTGTCATCATTGCATGAGTTGCTTGGGTCTGACGAGGAAATTACAGACTGGTACTGGACATAAGGGCTAATATAGGACTTATGGACTTGATCTGGACTGGGCTGGGATGTTTTATTAATATACAATTACTTTGATATAATGCTCTTTGTTATACACATATGAGTGTCTCTGGATTTGTTTCTCTGGTCTACCCGGCCTAACACAGCCACATTGCCATCACTTTGAGCAGCTCTCTTTGCCTGGAGCTGCGGATCCCGAGTTCAGGACATCAGCCAGGGACCCAGGGGCAGGCAGTGCCCAGGGCAGCCTGTGGCCAAGTGGGAGAGCAGCTGATCAAAACCGCATGGCATCTATGGCACTTTCTCTTCTCTCTCGGGAGATGGGGGCCTCAAAGTGAAAACCCATTTCCTTCATCCTGAAGGACCAGGGGCACTGGTTGCTTCCAGTCAAGGCTCACGGAACAGAATGGCCATGAGGCTGAAACCAAAGGGAAAATGCATGTAAAGGGGGCTTGCTGAGTGTGATCAGATACACAGTGTTCTCAGAAGGGTCATGTGGATGTGCTCATTGTCCTTGCACTTGTGCTGGAACAGTCACTCCTCAAGAGGGCAAGCCGAGAACCAGTGGGGAGGAAAAGACAGCACACATGCCTGAGTCCTTGCTCCGATGTGAAACTGGAGGAGAAATAAGAGCCCAGAGCAGAAGCAAAGCCAGATGCCCACAGAGAGCCCCTGAGGCGGGGTGGCTGAGCAGCATCTCACCCGGCAAGGAATGAGCTGCCCTGGAAGCTGGAGCAAATGCCCCTAGGCAGGGCTGGGCTGGGGAGGAGCCAGGAAGCTCCTGGTGGGAAACGATGGGGCAGTGGGCAAGCTGCATTTGGGGTCCCCCGACGGAGCCACCAGCACCCCCTTGTGTACCTCCACAGGGCGGGCTGTTCCTGAGTGTGGTGTTCGCAGGAAGTCGGCTGTTTGGATTTTCTTCAAGTAAGTGAAGGAGGAGGACATGCCTCCAGCTTGACACAACCGTGCGTTTTTATCCCTCTAGGGCCCCAGTGGTGTGGTGGTTTTAGGTTTGGCTGCCAGCCACAAGGTCAGAAGTTCAAAACCATTATGCCCTCCGAGGGAGAAAGATGAGGCTTTCTACTCCTGTACAGAGTCACACACTCAGAAACACACAGGGGCAGTTCTACCCTACCCTAGATGGTCACGGTGAGTCAGAATCAACTTGACAGTTGTGAGTTGTGGAGTTTGGAGTTCCTATTAACAGAAAGCAGGTGGCACAGCATGTAAGTGGGGGCAGTTTGAGGCAACCAAGAACAGGCCAGTTTCAGACGAGAGTTAGGAAGAGGTGGGGGGGGGGGCGGGGACTGGAGGAACACCGTACAAAATACGCTTTGTGCAACCTGCGTATCCATCAGCACGGCTGGGCGGAGGCTGCATATCGGCAGATGCGCCACCACACCTCGCCCTCACCCCGCTGGAGGTCACCTTCCAGAGAGACAGGCTACCTAATCATTGAAAAGTCCCTGTGATGCTTTTCTCCCTGCAACCCAGACCATTCCTGGGGCAATCATTGCTAATTTAAATTTTAAATAATCGTTAATGCCTTTCTGCTACTGGGGTGTAATCTAACTTTGATTTTCTCTGAGGGTAACTGCTCAGTGGTGATCTTATAATGTCTACCTGACATTCAGCATGCCACTCAGGTGTCTCCTTACTGGAGAGTGTCTCCTACACACACAACACACACTCATGCGTGTACACACACCGTATCACACACACATACACATATATAAGCATACACACATACACACATGCATGCACACACACACACACACGCACACATACCATAATACACACATATACACACCATATTCCACACATACCACATACTTAGCCCCTTGCCGATACACACTCACTAGACACATAATGCACACACCACACATCCCACATACACACATATTCCCCACCCATACTCCCTCTCTACACAGGCCCACTATGCACACACCATAAGTCACATAGACCACATGCACACATCCACCACACATCACACAAACCACATACACCCCCCACAAACAGCCACTACACACACCGCACAGCACATACACTACAGAAACACCTCACGCTGATCCCCCTCATATTCACCACCACACACACTACAGACATAGACATCGCACACATCCGACATCATCCACTCTACATACATGTCCCCCACACCCACTAGCCACATGCAGTGCACACAACACCCACCAAACACACTGCAGGCTTCTCCCTTCACACACACCTTCACGCCACCCACTCTGGGGCTGGAGGGCCTGCCCATCAGAGAGCACTCCGTGGTGCTCCTCCCTAGACGGATGCCCACTCACGTCCCCTTTGCTGAGCATCCACTCCTCACGGCCCCTCTCTGCCGACTCTGAGAACGTGAGGCTGCCCGTGGGAGAGGGAGCACTTCCCTGGTGTCCAGTGAGAGCCACCAGGTAGCGGGAGGACTCCCTGCAGCTGGGTCCCTCAGGAACACAGAAGAAACAAACTGGGGAGGCCAGGCAGGGTGGGACCCCTTGCCTGTGCCCACCAGGCCCCTTCCTGGGCTCAGGCCGCCTTGTGGAGGCCCTTCAGCCTCTGCAGCTGTCCCCGCACCACGGCCTTGACTGTCTCATTGCGGAAGGTAAGGATGAAGGGGTTGAGGCAGGGGGTCAGGATGGAGGTCACCAGGGCAACCACCTTGTTGACGTCCACCACCTGGGCCTTGCCCGTCCGCACATACAGGAAGATGGTGCTGCTGTAGCCGATGAAAACCAGGGTGAGGTGGGAGCCGCATGTGGAGAAGGCCTTCTGGCGGCCGCTGGCAGAGGGCATGCGCAGCACCGTGCTCACGATGTAGCCGTAGGAGATGAGAGTCACCAGGAAGGAGCTGAGGACAAAGGCCAGCGCCATCAGGAAGTCCCAGAATTCCAGCAGCCTGGTGTCTGAGCAGGCCAGCCGCAGCAGGGGGCCGTTGTCACAGAAGAAGTGGTTGATGGCATTACCTCGGCAGTAGTTGAGCTGAGCCCGGGAGAGGGCAGTGGGCACCATGGCTAGGAAGGGGGCTGCCCAGGCTGCCCCCGCCAGCCGGCCACAGACCGCCCCACTCATCAGTGTGCCATAGCGCAGCGGGTGGCAGATGGCCACAAAGCGGTCCAGGGCCATGTCGGCCAGGATGAGGAAGGAAGTGGAGCCCAGCGAGAAGTAGAAGTAGAACTGGGCCATGCAGCCCGCGAAGGAGATGGCCTTGCGGAGGCTCAGCAGGTCTGAGAGCATCCTGGGCACCGCCGTCATGGTCACCAGGATCTCCAGCAGGGAGAAGTTGCCCAAGAAGAAGTACATGGGGGTGTGCAGGTGGCTGTCAGCCACAACCATGGCGATGATGATGGTGTTTCCCACGAAGGCCAGAAGGTAGAGCACCAGGAAGGGTCCATACAGCAGGGTCTGCAGCCCACCCAACGAGGAGAAGCCCACCAGGATGAACTCGGAGGGCTGACTTCGATTCGCCATGGCCCGGGGCCAGTCCCTGGCTGGGAGGACAAGCAGAGGCTGAGATGGACAGACCGAGGGACACAGTCAGGGATGGAGAGTTCCTGAGAGTGAAACAGGTGGAGGGAGACAGGGAGAGAGGAGCAGGGAGGAAAAGGCAGTGGGAAGTCAGGAACAAAGACAGGGCGCGGGGCTGAGGTGGGGAGTGTAGACACTTGGAGAGGGGTGGAGTGCTGTGGACCGTGAAGCAGTGAAGCAGGGCCGGGACCCAGAAACAGGGGAGGCGAGGCACGTGTGCAGTCAGCTGCCAACAGCCGGGGAAGAAAGAGGAACAGAGACGGCAGACTGGGGACCAGAGGGTCGTGGAGGAGCAGGGGAGGGAATGAGGTGCAGATACGAGAGATTAGAAAGCCATTCATAAGGCAGGGCAGGGGAGAAAGAGAGCAAGAAGGGGGTAGCAAGCAGAGAGGCAGAGGAGGGAGTGATGAGAAGGAGAGAGAGGAGGGGGAGAGGAAAGAGAGAGGAGAGAGGGGGAGAGGAGAGAGGGGGAGAGACAGGGAAAGAGAGAGGAGAAAGAAGGGAGGAGAGAAAGGAGAGAGACAGAAAGAGAAGCCAGGGGGAGAGCAAGACACACAG